GGGGGGGAAGTTTTGTGAAGGTACAGTTTTGCCACCACTGAGTAGAGAGTGAGAGTTTGTGAACAGTCTGCCTTCAGTGATGTCATTTCTTCTTCTTGAAGATTTTATTGAAGGCGTTTCTGCGACGGCCGCCCCCCGACGCCTCGCCCTCCTCGCGTCCGTCCTCCACGGGGCTCCACCTCGGGGGCGTGTGGACGGCCGAGAAGAGGACGGGGCTGTCGGCGGTGTCGGCCGAGATGCACAGCGATCGAGTGGAGCAGGAGGAGGCGAGGACGGCGGCGGAGGTGCCCCTCAGCTCCCCGAGGCTTGAGCTCTTCTCCAGGCCTCCTCCTACTCCTCCTCCTCCTCCTCTCATCCTGGGACTCTGACCTTGCAGGGGCTGAAGCCTATTGGACAAGAAGAGGGTCTTGGAGCCGTACGGGCTTCGTGATTCGCTGTGAGAGTGTGGCAGGGGGGATTCCGAGTCGGAGCGATCCATAATGTCCCTGAGGGGGAAAAGGAAAAGTTGGGAAGAGAGCATTAACACCTCATTTTAATCGTATGATATCATCGGTATATTTACACTGCACGGTTCAAAAGATACAATTCCGATTTGCTTTGCTCTCAAGGGGGACCATTGGAATATGCGTCATCCCCCAAAACTGGATCCAGGTATTAAATCGGAATTGGGCCTTTGGGCCTGCACTGCAATGATAATCTGAACTACATGCTTAACAAATAATGACACGAAAGCATGTTGATGTTTAAACACAGACTGGATAAAACAAATCACTGAGCTCACTTAACACATGCTTAACAAATTTGGTATTAGAGATCATTAGCCTTTGAGTGCGAATAACGTGATCGGTCTTGAAGGTAGTCGTCGCCTGGAGACAAAGTACGGTGGAACTTCTCAAGTTGAACACAAGCCCTTCTGTGATGCTGGTTGATGTGCAATCTTTTTTTAAAACCTGATGCATCAGAGGGAAAACAAAACGGGCGGATTCAGAATCAGCACTAAACCTCTAGAAATGCTTACTCTCATCTCTGATTAAAAAAAAAATGCAATTTTTGACTTTATATACCCCCACCCCCCAAAAAAACAAAACAACTAAACTAAAAACGAACTAATCATACCACTTTTGGGGCCTTCTGTTTCAGAGGTTCCACGATACTCTGATCTGACCGTGACGGGCGATTATATAGTTAAGAAGCAATCATTTACGTTTCCTCTAAGAGTTGCAGGGAGATTATAGTCAAAGGCACAACATGGCAACGCTACTTTGGTATTACGCAAAAACAGGACATCACAGTAAGTTTTGGGAAAAAGGGCCTTGCAGAGCGAGGTACCCCGAGCTGACGGAGCGACAGCGCCGCCTCCGGTTTGCCGTCGCCGTAGTCGAGTGGATGAGCAGAGAAGAAAAGCGAGCCGTTCCCTCAATGTAGGAAGTGGACCGTTTGGATAGTAGAGGAGGAAGAGGGTGGCGACAGAGTGAGAAAAGAGTGGAGTGAGGAAGCGAGACCGGGTAGACGGAAGGGTGAGAGAGCGAGGAGGAGAGAGTCGGCGCGGGCCCGGAGAGGAATTCCAGCTGGCCGATGGAGTGGCTGCGTGTCTGCCGCGCGTGGCCCCCGGGAGGGCTGTTAATTGGGCCGCACCCTTCCTGTTGACGGGGGACATTTCCGTCTACCAACCTCTGAGAGCTGAACATCATAGTGGAGTCTCCCATCCTTTGCTGCTGGGGCATCAGACTCTGAGCTGGGGAAATACAAGAGTCATTTATATCTTACTCACAAAAAGGAGGGAAGGTCAAATGAAATTCTCATTCTCGGTTCACCCTGAAGTTTCAACCCCAAAGTCCAATATCTCAAACTTGTTATGAGCAGTGCATGTAAAGGACAAAATAGCCCCGTTAAAATGCAGATTGCGAAAAGGATGTGTTGATGGTGGAGAGGGGAAGGGGCCAACCAGAGAGCTTCCACGGTGATTGGTTGTCCGCTATGGTGCTCAGTGGCCAGAGGTCGCTCACTCGTCGGTCCATCTGCCAGGCTGCATCTGGAGGCAGCCAATCGGGAGAAAGATGCTAAGAGGGAGACAGCCAATAGGAGAACGAGGGACAGGGAATTCTGTGCTACTTTTCCACTGCTCGGTACCGACTCGGCTTGGCACGGCTCGGCTCGACTGGCACTGATCAAGAACAGACTGTCAGGTATCGTCAAGTGTTTTTAATGCAGACTCTTTCAGTTTCAGTGTTTGGTTCGAAATTTTTGTGACCAAGAAGTGCCCATCCAGCCTTATGAAGTGCTGTAACGTGTACCCCGCCTACAGCCGGAAGACAGCTGGGATAGGCTCCGGCACGCTCGCGGCCCTCGTGAGGAGAAGCTAATAAGAAAATCAACGGCTGGATAGAAATAAGTCAATATTTACAGAGTGCAGAGCTCATCAACGTTCTGAAATCAATGTAGAGTGATTGCACACTTGAGAGATCAACGTGAAAACTCAACTCACATTTGAGCGTCCCCGGTGACAAGATGTCCTCGTCCATGTCATCCAGGTCGTCCGACAGGAGGAGGTGCTGCGGCGTTGCCGGTCGCAAGCCCAGGAAGGACGGGTCCAAATTAAGAGCGGCCGCCAGTGCCCCGAGGCCCGGATTAGTGACCAGACAGAAACCCGTCAGGGACTCGATATTCTGCCAGCGGTGCAGCTTCTCTCGCAGCGCAGCCGTCACATCGGCCAGGGCTTGTCTGGAGGATCCATCGGGATGTAGTTTTGAGGAAAGCGTGACTTGACAGGTGATTGTTTTTAAACATTTTGACAGATACTTTTTCTCGTGACATTTCGACAATGTGCGTTCCATCGGTCAAATGGCACTAACTTGGCAGAAAGGATTTTGTGGTCGACGTCATCTAACGAGGAGCTGTGAGCCACATGAAATGTCCCAAATAGAGAACTCCTCTTCTTCTTGATCTTCTCGGCCTGAAATAACCACAAAACCACCGTCATTATGGTCACGGTGGGGGGTAATATCATACATTCCCGTTCGGGACATATCCCATATGCAGTGCAACGATTTATTTATTTACTTTTTAACTCATCCACTCCCAAAGACGTTTTTAAACGTCTTTTCAGACTTGGTCTAAAATTGGCTGGTACTGAATGAGTTTTAAATATATTTTTGAGGTCCAGTACCAACTGGTGGTTGGGGACCACTGACCTCGAGTGCTCATCTACTCACTCCCTCTCTTGCTTGCAGCAGCTGCCTCTCGGCACTTTGCTTCTTGATGTTGTAGTACTGAACTTCTATCTCGTGTTTCAGCTGCAGCCACGTCTGCAGCAGGTCCGGCGGCGA